AGGAAGAACTCCTCTGGACAGCTTTCTATTTGGTGAACTCCCAAACCTCTTTCATCTCCCAGATCTAAGGACCTTCTCTTCTGTTATGCCTTCTCTAGTTTTGAACTTTGACTAACTTTCAGAATATTACAGATGGTGCTGCACCATCACACTGTGATTTGCTTAGTTGATCTCCCCATTAGATTGTGAACTCTTGAGAGCAAGATACATGTATCAGTTATCTCTTGATTTCTTTATTTAACTTCATATTAGAAGAGTCTCACTACATATAGTTATTGAATTAATGAAGTAAAATTAATTGGGATTATTAACAGTAAATGAGTCTAGGGACCATTCTAGGGACCCGTCTTGTCTTTTCATGATTGATATTGTTTTTTGGATATTGCCCTACTCTCTTTACGCTAAGTCAGAGGGAAGGGAAGAGACAATAGGAATATTCAAGAAAAGTGTTGACAATTAAGTTGGGTTTATTCTGAACCCAAACTGAAATGTTCAGAAGTCTCTTGACTCTGAGACCACTCAAAGCTTTTCATGTCTCACTACTGAAGGCAGTACATTTATTGCATTTGGTAGCTGAGCTTTTTAATAGCTGAACTTATTCCCCTCCTTTGTCACCTGGAGTTTATCTGTTCAACATTCCCTTTTTTTAGGCTGTCACAGCAGCACTTTCAAAATATATTCCTTCTTTCTTGTTACAAAATTTCAGTACACATTTTATTAGAGTTCACATATGTTCATGATTTTGCTAAGACACATTTAAAAAGTGTTTTATTTTGGTGAGAACACTTACCTTTAGGTCTACCCTTTTAACAAATTTCTAAGTGTACAATTTAGCAATGTTGGCTATAGGTACAGTTTTGTGCAACAGATCTTTAAAATTTATTATATCTTGCTTAACTAAAACTTTAGGCAAATTTACTCTCTATTTCTGCCTCTCCAGACCCTGGTATGATTTCCTTTTTATATATTATTTGTTTTATGTTTATGGTTATGTCAAAAGGAGATTTTCTTGCAAAGGGAGCTTTTAAAATACTATTGCTAGCTGTTCATTTACCTGGTGGAATTTAGAGGTAAAAATGTCTGATGATGATCACAGTTAGAAATACTAATGTTGAACACTCACCAGGTTTGAGGTACTGTCTTTGGTGATTCAAATGGAGTGCTCTATTTAATCCTCACAACATTCCTGTGAGGTATTATTCTCCTCATCTCCAGAAGAGAAAAATTAAGTAACTTGTGCACCTCACATAGCTGTTAAGGATCAAGGCCCTGTCTGGGATTTAGGCAGTCCGACTCTGGTTCCTACACTCAAAATCAGTACTGGAGTGGAAAGTATAATTTACAAATAAAAAATTTATATTCCACCTGAAAGTTAAAGGTTTGTTTGCATCTTTCAGTCTTAGCATCTTTTTTGAATAGTTTGGTTTTCTTCCTTTAAATCATATACCCCACTTCTACATTTTTCCCTTTTCATCAGGGAAGCTGATGATAAGTTTCACTCTAAATATTCTTTCCACTTCTTCTTTTGGGGAAATTTCATCAATGCTTTGCTAGCCAGTGCATCATGGAAGGATCTTATTATAGCCCTGTTTTGATGTTGAGATACAGGTGTTAAACCACTTCCAGATGCATCGCTGAACTTACTCTTCTTGCAACCCAAACAATGGGAGCTATCTAGTTGCAAGAAAAAATCAGAGGACAATATGCATTTTTTTTTACAATAAAGCATAAATATAGAGCTTATGATAGAGACTATGCCTTATAATTTAGCAAGTATGGATTTGAATGTTTAAATAATCAATCAGATTTTATTAAAACAAAACAAATGCACAAAATCCCACAATCCAAGAAATTTATACTACTATTACCAATTATTGTTAGTTTTCAATTTTTGTCATAGCAAAATAACTGGTTCTTTTTTTTGTTTTGAGGTTATGGGAATCAAACCTAGGGTCTTACACATGCTAGCTAAGCATTTTTCCACTGAGCTAACATCCTCAGCCCCAAATAGTATATTTTAAAATGCAACTAATTAATTCAGTGAATTAGCAGGAGAATTTGAGTTGTTTTTATTATTTTTGCAATTATAATGGAATAGCATTAACTATGGTACTATATGGATTACAGTTTGCATAAAATAATAATAATTATCCCATAGTGGATTGACCTTATTATCAGTGACAGAGGATAAGTGGGGAGTTTTGTTTTTTACCTTACACATTTGTATGTATAGTACCCCTACCCTAAATACTAGTGCTTTCAATTTCATTCCTTTATGATATAATACTTAGTCCTTTTTAAAAATTACATTTGCTAAAACAATCATTTTGCTATTCTCAGTAATTTATACTGTTTGAATGTGATCCATTTCTAGAATTGTTTGGCATGATGAGAATCTGTAAAGACAGGACAGTTTTAGTGCAGAGGATAGAAGAGAGATGCCCTTGGGAGGGTTGAGCAGACATTAAGGAGGCATTATTTGTAACCAAAATGAAGTTTGCAGCAGAGACAACCTCTCAATTCCTGATATTTTTCTACAAACCAGAAGTGGCCCATCTGATATCCATCTTGATTCCATTCCATGGTGTTTGTTCATCTTGGTAGGTGATATGTTTAAAAGTTTGAGGACTGACTGCGTATGTGCATGAGACTCCTTTAGATATGACTGTGTTACCACTATAATTTATCTATTCTTTCCTAGACTCATCCATGTGTAGGAGGTGAATCACCATAGGTCATCGTAGCATTTTTCTCTCCTTCAGTAACCTCTGCATACAATGACCCACTGCATCTTTCCATGAAGGCATCACTATTGCCTTGGAGATCACAGTTGATGCAACAGGAGGCAGGCTAACTGCATGAAATAATTGATTTAGCTCTTGTAGTAATCTACCCAGTTTTCAGTCTTGGCATTGTAGGGTTTATTCATGTGATGTAAACCCATGATTGAACCACATTTTGTCTTACTTCCCATGAATTTATGTGGGAATAAACTTGAAGGACTTCTTTTCTTTATTTTGGTGTAATTGGGATTTGAATTCAGGGCTTCAAGATTTCTTACTTGCAAAGCAGGTGCTCTACCACTTGAGCCACAGTACACTTCCAGTTCAACTTGCAGAATTTCTTAAGCTCAGCATTACTGAGGATAGACCAGCTTTGGTCAGTATTATTTCTTAGATGGGAATGGTTCCATACCACTCACAGTGTCTCAGTTTGAACCAGACAAGGAAGAAACTGCTGGCTGGCAGTGAAGAGAGCTCACTGATCTGAAGGCGTTTGCAAAAAGGGAAGATGACAAGATCTAGGAGACTTTGTTTTAGCTTAGATTACTAAGACTATATGCATTTATGTTTCGGGGAAATCTATTCCATCCAGGTAGGAAGCATTTAGCTGTATTATCCAGGGCAAAGTACTGCTAGGGAAGATCTCCATATTTTCCATTTGGTGGGCTTGTTTCTCTAAATGTCTTTGGAGATCAGTTTAGGACTCATAACAATGGCTAAATTTATTGATCCCTTCCTATGTATTAGCTACTATCATAAAAGTTTCACACGGTTTAGCTCATTCAATCCTCATGGCAACCCTATGAGGTAGATGTCATTATTATGTTAATTTTGCAGAGACAGAAAACTGAAGCTGAGAGAGGTTAAATAATTTGACCAAAGGTGCAAAGCGTAGAAGTGGCAGAGCTGGGAGAGAAGCAGGGAGTCTTTCCGTAAAGGTCATGGTCTTGCTCGCCAGAGATTGGAATAGGCTTTCTTCACTTAAGTGGTTGATGAAAGGATATACTGAGGACAAAGTTGTATTGTAACAAGAGGCCTATAAAACTAAGTGTATGGAGGGACCCAAAGAATGTAGTTCCAATCCCTGATGGGTCTGACTTTAAAAAGCTCTCTGGGAATGACTTTATTTTGGGAAATTTGGGAGACTGGAGCAATGAGGCTGTGGAGTGGTTATTAGGCTCATGTCTGAGAAAGGACTCAGAAGGTTCTGGATTAGTTCTTTAGGGGCTTGACAATAGAGACTTATTGTGAAACGTGGCCTTTAAAATGGGCATCTGGGGACTCCTTTTAACAGGCTGGCCCTAGAGGAGTGAGTCCATATGTTACCTGGCTTGCCTGCATTGACTGCTGGTTCCTGTGGGTCCTGGGTTGTCTTCACTCCTGTCTTCCATATTCCATGTCAAAATGAGAAGCTGTTGCTTCTCTTATGCCAATAAGGCCATGGGATACTGATTCCTCTGAACCTCTACTTAGGTGGGGAACTAATTCTTCCCAAAGGAGTAAACCTGGGGTCTCAGAGAACAGATTCTGAATGCGATTCTCACAATCTAAGCTAAATTCCTTTTGACTGTGTTTGACTTGCTTCTGTAGATTGACAAATATCTATAAGACATTGAATATTGGATATCTTAATTTATGTCCCTTTGCCTAGACCACATTTTAAGATGAAAAACATGTAAGATTAAAAAAAAATGTGCCTTAACTGATATGCCTGCTGCTTTTTATTGACAGATAATAAACATATTATTTTGCTTTGACCAGTTAAAATATATTAGTCTTTTTGCAAAACTTATTTTCCTAATATTACTGTTGCATAGGCAATCAACTCCATAGAATGTCAGTTGACATTTCTGAGAATCCTGTAGTTTTAAAGCTTATGATAATTTTGAAGCAAGAAAAAAAATAATGATTTATAAAATTTTATTTCAAAAGTGGACTTTGTGCTAAGAAGTAAATAGTTTGGTTTATGCTTGAATTCAATTTGGTTTTCTCATGCTGGGTGGCCTTTTCCTCCATTAGTCAATGTTTTTATATAGATCTTTAGGTTATGTTTAGTGGTTTTTGTCCACCCACACCTCTATTCTTCCATGGTTATTTAAAAACAAAAGTGGTGTTTTATCACATTTGAATAAATATTGGCCAGATGCTGAATGCCTTTAAAACAAACAAAATCAAACAAATAAAAAACCCAAATAAGTGTCATCATTTAATTCTGAGTCTCTGAGGAAGGGATTAGATCTCTGTTTTGGGTATAGAGATGTAAATGCCATTTTTCTGTTCATTTTTCAGGTCACGTGTGCCAATTTAACTAATGGTGGAAAGTCAGAACTTCTGAAGTCAGGAAGCAGCAAATCCACACTAAAGCACATATGGACAGAAAGCAGCAAAGATTTATCTATTAGCCGACTCCTGTCACAGACTTTTCGTGGCAAAGAAAATGATACAGATTTGGACCTGCGATATGACACCCCAGAACCTTATTCTGAGCAAGACCTCTGGGACTGGCTGAGGAACTCCACAGACCTCCAAGAGCCTCGGCCCCGGGCCAAGAGAAGGCCCATTGTTAAGACGGGCAAGTTTAAGAAAATGTTTGGATGGGGTGATTTTCATTCCAATATCAAAACAGTGAAGCTAAACCTGTTGATAACTGGAAAAATTGTAGATCATGGCAACGGGACATTTAGTGTATATTTCAGGCATAATTCCACTGGTCAAGGGAATGTATCTGTCAGCTTGGTGCCCCCAACAAAAATCGTGGAATTTGACTTGGCACAGCAAACCGTGATTGATGCTAAAGATTCCAAATCCTTTAACTGTAGAATTGAATATGAAAAGGTTGACAAGGCCACCAAGAACACACTCTGCAACTATGACCCTTCAAAAACCTGTTACCAGGAGCAGACCCAAAGTCACGTATCCTGGCTCTGCTCCAAGCCCTTCAAGGTGATCTGTATTTACATTTCCTTTTACAGTACAGATTATAAACTAGTACAGAAAGTGTGCCCCGACTACAACTACCACAGTGACACACCTTACTTCCCCTCAGGATGAGGATGGACAAGGGGGTGAGACTGAAGCCGGAGGAATTTAAGGTCATATGACAGGGCTGTTACCTCAAAGAAGAAGGTCACATCTGTTGCCTAGAATGTGTCTACACTGCTGCTCTTGTCAACTGGCTGCAAATAATGCTAGTGGAAAACAATCTGATGTAATTTCTGCCCAGTCAGCTTCATCTCTCACTACAGTTATAAATCACCACAGATTTTAAAGTCACACTTGAAGACATGCTCTCACATATAGAGGTACACAAGCACACATTCATGTACATTTCAGCTTGCATCCGTCATGGTTCCTGTTGAGAGGGCTTTCACTTGTCTGACTCATAATGGTTTAGGGTATACTATGATCAAACAAAAGGATTAACTAGACAGAGAATGTTTCTAACACTCACTGTTGTGGAAACCTCTTTTTAAAGTCTTGAGTCCATGCTAATCAATAATTGCCACTCATGCATTCCTACTGCTTGGAGTAGCTGTACTGGTAAATACTACTGTAGGAGTATATGCTTGTTAAAATGGAAAAAAAATGTGTCTTTAGAGCTCAGTATTCTTTATTTTATGAACACAACAGTGTAGTAACCTTTTCGAGCATAGAGTAGGCACATTCAAGGTGATCCAAGATGGCTCTTTTTTCTAGGGAGGGAGCCTGTTCTCAGTAAAGATGAGCAAACATTTGGAATTTACATGTGGGTAGACATGGGAATAACAGCTTTCATTGCCAACAATGGACATTTGTGAAGTAGAGACCAGCTAAGGCTGTTTAAATAAGTTCTGATCGTTAGATAAAAAGGGAAATGCCTGGCAGACACCATGTAAGTTATAAGTGTCTGTCTTATCTTTACTACACATATTGTAACAAATTCAATATCCTAGTCTTCATTTGTATGAATGGTTTGTATTGTACATAGTTTAACCAAGTGTTATTTGAGCTGCTTATTAATATTAAATTGTACTTGTCTCTGCTTGTTATTGGTTAAAAAAGAAAAAAAAAAGGATCTGAGGAATCCATTTTATCAATGTAGCCGTGAACTCCATTAAAAAGACAAACTTAATGTACAAAGCATTTATTCAGCTCAAGTATTGTTGAAAGCTATACATATACAACATTACACTGTCTGTATTTAGATATTTTATTTCTGGACAAACAAAGTGTACATAAAAATAAAACACTTAAAGTTGAGTTTCAATATGTATGTGTGTAAGATGGTGATTTAAGTGATTCTGACAGGAAGAATGTGCAGAAATACAGTCATGGTTTTGTATCTCATGCCTTTAAATTTAAACAGAATTATCTAAATTGCTATTAGTGGCCCAGTCAAAACAACTTAAGTTTTTCAGAATCAAACTTGAGAAATAATTGTGGCATACAAGGTTGCACACATTTTTGGCTTACTATCATGCTAGCTATTCAATAATACCCCCCCAATCAACAAATGAGGTCTCCTGAATTAATTGTAACTAGTTAAATTTCTTTCACTGCTCAGAGTCTTTACTTGTCAAGACTGAAGTGAAGGTAATATTTTTTCGTTGGAGGAAAGTCAAGATATTTGAAGACTGTGGCTGAATTTCCCTAATTCCATTATAATGGCTCAACTGAAAAAATTGCAAGAGCAGTAGAGGGGTTCAATGCTCATTTTATCTGTAGCAGATGGAATCAAGTTATATATATAGCATTGTTTATGGACATTAAACTTTCTTTTAAAAAATAATTTCTTTACACAATCCCGGTAAAATAAACAGATGAAGAAATGTGGAAAATCACCCATTTTTAAGTCATGAATTTGCTACTGGGACGTAAAGGACAACCAAACAAGCCAAATTAAGAACACTAATCCATTCTCATCTTTCTTTCATATTTCTTAGGGTTAAGTCTATTTTCATATGGGAACAAATAGGAATACTATAAGAAAGACCAAACAATGGATTCTATCATGAGAATCTAATAACTGATTTGATTAAAGAGGATATTCAACTGAAAATCAAACATACATCATTTTGCTAAATGTCAGTCTTTCAAAGTCCTCCAATATATCTGGACAATCATTTATATCAATGTATGAATAACTTTGTCATGACATTTAAACACTAATGTTAGAACAGTCTCCCTCTGGCAGAATAGTAAGAACTTTGCAGTTTCCAGCTGATGGACACATTTGCCACAGACGAATATTATTATTCTGGAATTTATCAACATGAGCAATTAGTGCTTCAATTTCTACCCCTTTACTCTACTTCTAAATGCCCCTAATGAAATAATGCTTTCACATTTTTAATGGCAGCACTGGGGTTTGGACTCAGGGCCTCACCCTTGCTAGGCAGGTGCTCTTATGGCTTGAGCCACTCCACCAGCCCTCTGCTTTTATATTTTTATTACTGTATAGAATTCAGCAAGCTGACATTCAATTACTTGAATTGGTTTCTGTAATTTTTCCTAAGAAAAAAACCCTAAAAAACATGTACCAAACTTCTGATAAGGATTTCAAGTTTTAAAAAAATCTGAACTTTTAGGACTATTTTTCTAGACCCATACATATATTTTTTTTTCTGGACCCAAATTCCTACATCATCCACATCCTCGATCTACAATATAGAAGAATCGTGAGGATATAGAAGTTTGACATGAAATAACAATTTATTTGCATCTGATATTGTCTCTGTTTTAGGCAGAAAGACCATCAACATGAAGGTTCAAATGTTCAGATTAAAAACTTTGTTATATTAACTGGTTGCTTCAGCAAACAACTTACTTAAGTTTTAGCTGTGTTTAAGAATGCATTCATTATTTGGAAAAATAAACTTTAAGCAGAACTAAGGAAAAAAACCTCTATAATCTTAAAAATTATTACACATCTTTGCTAAGATAAAAGAAAAAATACCCAAATGGGACTAGAACCTGATGAAAATGAGGTTTTGTCAATTACCTATTGTTTTCTTCAAGAATATTTTAGCAAATTGAAATTATGAAAAATGATGAATATAGCTTCTTGCTTCATTAAAGAAAAGTGATACAGTACTAGTTTACCTATTTATGATGAAAATAATTATGATATGGTCTCAATTGAGCACTTTTGGTTCCATGGCTCTTGGGAGTATTTCTCTGCTTGAGTAGAAGGGGACTTGACATCTAATAGTTCATGCTATAGTTCTAAAAGTGATTATTCTAAAAGTAATCGAGATATCTGTTAAATGTAAAACTGTAGACTGAGTCTTTAAGTTTCTTACTTCAGCAATAAATTGTTTTACCATATTTTTTGAGCAAGATAGATTTAAAAAATCATGAGAAACCTGAAAAAGTGCTTCCTTTTCTCTTTTTTCCCTCACTGTTTTACATGTAGGAAGCAGCCTAAGCAATATAAACTGCTCTTTGGAAAAGCAATAGGCATCGCCACCATCAGCTTTGAATGTCAAGTTTTAGCCTGGAGCAAGTACAAATGGCTATTTATAAACCTTTGAGAGACTTGGTTGATGTACCAGTTTCAGACACTTTATTTATCTTACTCTTAATCTATTTATTTATTTATTTATGTATTTATTATTTATCTTAATTTTTATTCAAATCATATGAAAATCAGTAGATGCATTAAAAACAAAACTTTTTAAACATAAATTTACATGAAATGATTACTATTTACTTAGTTTGTAGGTGACAAAAATTGAATTCATGTATAGACAATTCAATCCTGAAATACTGATTGCTAGGTCAGACTTTTTTCTGGAATCCCATAATATAATCAAAGAATGATGCAGAACTTGAATATACAGGGAAACAATTAAAGATAGTGGTATATCATGGAGTTTATATCTTATAGTAGAAATATTTTAAGTAACAATAAAATAATAAAAATTTTAAGTAACATCTTTTCACTGGGATGGGAAATGAATAGAAATCTCATTGTGAAAGAGCTTTAGTTATGATTTGTCTTGTGAGCAATCTAGAAAAATGCCCTAAAATTAGCAGAGCAGTAGTGTCAAGCACTTGGGTAAGTGCCTCAAGTTTGACCAAAAGAACATTAGTAGTTACAATTCCGCATGTGCAGAAAGATGCTTTTTATCTCTGATGGATTGTAGGATGGCTGTAAAGCTCCTAGGGATGATGGTGCAGAAAGATTAGAGACCTGTTGGTGGCTGAAGTAGCTCATGCCAATCGAGGCCAAGTGTCTTTTCCTCAATTTCTAACCTGTGAATTAGACATACAGATCTGCTCACATTCTTACCTGGAAGTGTTGGTTTTAAATTTTCTAATCCTATGAGAGATATTCACAGGCAAACCTAAGATGTTATTACACTTTATCATCAGGTTCCTTCAGTCAAACAAGGGAGTGAACTTGGTTCTTGTAATTGTGATTACTTAGGAAAGTTGTTAGAATGTAACTATTATCAAATAAGTACTTTAAAAACTCCATAAATGTTATTGTCTTTGCTACTACCAAAATTCACCTTGTTGTTTCTCTGAAAGCTAGTATCAGTCTTAGTATTAGACAGCTGGAGTGCCTGCCTACCAAGTAAGAAACCTGAGTTCAAGCCCCAGTACCGCTACCAAAAAATCTCCACAAACAAACAACCTCCCCTAAAAAATACCCTAAGATAGTTTCAGTATTAAAATTAACTTATTTTTTCCATTTACTAACAATGCTCAGTAGTCAAGCATGGTTAAATTTTTTAAACAGTTTAAAAATATTTCATAAACTTTTAAAAAGAAGTAAACAATTGCTATTTTTGTCTTACTACATTCTTCAGTCAAAAGAGAAAGGGTTGCAAGTCCATGACAATAGCTAGTATCTATTGAATATTAAAGGATGAACCTTTTATGGAGCTAAACAGTTCTCATGTGTTCTTTTGCTTAAACATTACAACTTTGAGGTAGATGCTCTTGGGCTCCCATTGCAAGAGGTTGAGACTGATGCTTAGAAAGGTGAAACAACCTAGCATAGAAACAGAAAAACCTAGCAAATAAGGCAGCATATTTTAAGTGGTAGATTAGGAGTCAAATCCTATCCCTAGACCCCAGAGACTTTTAAACTGTTTCTCCTCTAATTTTAAACAGTACTGAAGTGCAGTGAAAAAAAAAAATTTCTACACAGGTATAGTACATTTAATATGAAAATAGGCTTGTTATCATATGGAAAAGAGATGAATAATTCACATAGTCCATTTTCTTTCCTTTGGCTGTTTGCTATTTCTCTTATGTGTTCAGAACTCCTCAGTGTCCCATAGCAAGTTCCAGTCCTGACCCCTGCTCAGGCAGAAACCAGCTCCAATTGCCCCTGCCAATCTACTAGTTGGCAGCCTGTGCTGTTCTCCAAACTACTGTTAGTGAGCTTGTTTATGATTTGGGGCCAGAGGTGTCTTTGAGCTTGATAAATATGAGAATTGTAGGCCAGGGATGAATTGCTACAGTGCAATTCTGAAAATTACTCCTAGATTCTGATATAGGAATCTCATTTCGCATGGATACTGCTGTGTGTCTAGGAAACTTTCATTAATACAACTTTAGCTTCGCTCAAAAATGGTTCAAGTAACTTTGATGTTGGTTCCATTCAATTCCTTTTATATCATTTCATAATGTCTCTTTCTGCTCTTCTGCTATAGGCCTTGAATTAGGTGTTCTAATAGAGGCACAATAAAAACACATGAGGGTGTTTTCTGAATGAAGCTTGAGTGTGTGAGAATATCTGAAAGTGTTAGTCTTCTTTTTTGATAAGTTTTGTCTTGCTTGCAACATCTTATTCTTTAAAAATTTATTTATTGTTATTATTGTACTAGTGTGATTATTGTACATTGTGATATTTACAAATGTTTTTATGATATATCGTACTTGAATTCACGCCTTCCATCATTCTCCTTTATCCTTAATCCCCCATTCCTGAGTAGTTTCAACAAGTCTCATTTTTCCATTTACATACATGTGTACGTAATATTTACACCATATTCACCCTCCTACACCCTTTCCTCACCTCCTCTCTCCCACTGGTACCAACCCCCTAGACAGGACTTGTTTTGTCTTCCTGTTCTCCATTTTTGAAAAAGAAAAAAAAATATTTTTGTTCTTTTAAGATAGTTATACAGTGTGTTTAACTGTGACATATATGTGTATATATATATATATATATACAATCTGAATTGGTTCATCTC